TTTTCAAAAAGGTTTTTTTCTATTGCTAATTTTTTTTCAGCATTTTTACTTGTTTTTTTTTTTGCATCGTTTTTATCCCTTTTTCCATTCTCTAATTTCATTCCATTTCTTTTTTTATTGATTGGTAATAGCTAAAATTACAAATGTTATGTTTCATAATTTTCAAATTTTTTTTTTCTAGAAATATTCAAGAATTCCATATATTCATTTCAGTTTCATATACTTTCATATCATTGCTGATATTTCGTTTTTTTTTTTTTTTCTTTGTTTTTTATTTCAGATTTCTTTTTCTAAATTAATACGATTACTGCAATATAGAGAGAGGCTTATAAAATCAATAAATTCATAATTCAATTTTATTGTTACATTCAACTCACTTTTAACAACATTTCATAAAGAAACTTTAAAAAAATTGCAAATCACATCATACCATTATCTCTTGTCCATAAAACAAACAAATTAAAAATCCCTCACCTTCGTTTCTGATTTTTACTAATTAATTAAAATAAATCAGCGAAATATTATAATGTTCAATTATTTCTATAGCTAATTATATTAAATAAATTGGTATAATATTTCATTTAATATGCATTTGCAGTTTTTTCTGAGTGTAATAATATTTACAAATGATTTATGCAGTATGCATAATTGTAAATACTGTTGAAATATTTGCAAATCATTTGAAATTTATAAAATGATTTTTCCACAATTGTCATTCTTGCAGTTATCATATGTATATATGCAGATTTCATTTCAATTAGATTCAAATAAAAGGGAATTAAAAAAGTGAGCAATATTTATTTCTAATTTTGTACAAATCCAAGATCAGTTTTTGCGTTGTTTTGAAATGTTAACAAAGTGGATGGAATGAATTATTTGCTAATTAATTGGAAGTGACTAATGGATAACGAGGAAATAATGTCAGATAACGATCGATTACCTGCTGTTGATGATATTGTATTATCAGCCCGAAACAAAGCTTACAAATTGATATCTGTTATTGGTGAAGGAGGTTATGGGAGTGTTTTTTTGGCCAGATGTGAGAATGATGAAACGTAAGTAAAAGTTTGTTGAAATTTACGATAATTATGGAAGTAAATGTTATTAGAGAGTTAAAATAAAATTTATTTAAAATTCAATTAATTCATATTAAATGATAAAAGACAAGCGTAAAAGTTTTTTCGCACTTTTTTTCTCGATTATAATTAAATATTAAAGTAAGTGTAACATTTATCAAATAAAATCAAATTTAATTGGTTATCAAATATTGCATTCACAATAATGATAAAATCAATGATAATGACTGAACAAATAACAAAATATTATTTGTAGTAATAAATTTTTAGTTTTAATTTCTTTAAAAATATTTACTAATCATCGATTACTTGATTTTTTTTTGTTCTCTTATTATCTAGTTAAACTGTTTATTAACTAATTAATTTCCAAATTTTTATTATCGTTACTGTTATTGGTATCATTAATTGTTCTAAAATAAAACAAAATAGTTTCATAGATCGGTAGCATTAAAAGCTGAGAAATTCAGTAAAACAGTGTTAAGAATTGAAATTGGAGTGTTGCGAGTAGCAAATCAACGAAATTGTAAGCATATCTGCAAGATGTACGACTATGTATGCTTTAATGAATTTAAAAAAAAAAACGATTCATAATATATAAACTCATTAAGCTGTTTCGGTTAATTCAATTTCTGTTATTAGATAGCGCAAAATAAAAAATAAATTCGTTTAAAACAATTAATTTTATTACTAACTTAAATTGATTAATATCAAAAATGATAGGAAGGCAAAATATTTCCTCGATAATAATCTAAATGATGATATTTTTCTTGAACTAAAATACTGCAACTAAATTACTTATAACATTTTATAGGGTCATGTCAAACAGGAATTTATGTTTATTGTAATGTCATTACTTGGGCCAGATCTTAATAAACTACGCAATCGTCAGCCTAACAAACATTTTACACTTCGTACATTTTATTTTTAAATTTTTGCATTCAAATAAATAAAAATATACTCCTTAAGCATCAAAATTTTCTTTTAAATTTCCAAAAAAAAAATATATATTAAGAAATTCTAAAAATTTTACTGCTATTTCTTTGCTAACTTTATAAATTAAATTTCTTTAGCTTTATTTACATGATCTATTTGTTTTTAATCTTTTTTCTCAATAATCAATAAACAACGTTAATTTTCTCAATAATCAATGTTTAATTATTAAACTAAAAATTCAAAATTTTCGAAAATTTAATTTTTTTTATACCATTTAAATATATGATTAAAGAAAAAGAAAAGTAAAAATAAAAAAAAAGAAAGAAAAGGAACACTAAACAATTGCAGAAACTTCCATTCGAATAGCAATGCAAACATTGAATGCTATCGAAGAATTGCATCAATGTGGCTTCCTTTCTCGTGATATTAAACCTAGCAATTTTGCAATTGGCAATAAAGCTAATCATCAACATCATTACATTTTCATATTCGATTTTGGCCTCGCAAGACGTTATCTTAATCGAGTTTGTACTTAAATATCTTATTTTAATTAACGTGAAAAAAAAAACGAAACTGTGACAATATCATGAAAAAAAAGAAAAAAAAAATTGAAAATTTTGATTATTTAAATTATAAGCAAACAATCAACGTAAAAAAGTAATAAGCAATTAGTGAATTATTTCTCTTCTATAAATAATCATTACTGAAAAAAAGAAGAGTGAAAGAGAAAAATGTGATTGTGAACAAAGAAAAAAGAATAAAATTGATATTAGTATTGGTTATTCTTTATATTAAATCGAAATATTCAATAGTAAACTTCAAGTAATATTTAGAAATAATCATATACTTATAATAAATATCACTTAGGTAAGATAATTACAGAATTTAGAAGTATTACCATCACGTGGTGAAATGGGTTGGCGTGGTACGACACGATACGGTTCATTAAATGCTCATCATAGGCAAGATTTATCAAGACGTGATGATTTGGAATCATGGTTATATATGATGGTTGAACTTACTAAAGGATCACTTCCATGGCGTTTGACTACTGGTAAGAATAATACTGTATAGGTTTTCTTTTTTTTTAGATAATAAAATTATTAAATTTCAACTTTTACAAATATCTATATAGCAAAAAAAAAAAAAACAACATATATATTGAACAACAAAAAATTGTAATTTCTTTTCAATTTTTTTTTTCT